AGTCAGCATTGCACTAGGAAATTTGCAGTTAGGGAGCTTTCCAAGTTATTGAGGAGTAGTGATGTCAGTTTGATGGCTAAGGTGCATCTGATTCACACCATAGTCTTTCCAATTACTTGCTATGCATCCAAAACCTGGACAATGAGTAAGGCTGACAGAAAAAGAATTGACACCTTTGAGTTGTGATATTGGAGAGATCTGAACTGGACTGCCAAGAAAGCAAATAGATATGTCTTGGAGAGGGTGCAGCCAGAGTGTTCTTTGGAGGCAAGAATGATGAGGCTTTGCCTCACTTACTTTGTGCATATTACTAGGAGGTACTATTCCTTGGAGAAGCACATAATGTTGGAAAGGGTGGAGGGTCGGCAAAGGAGAGGATGCTCTTCAACCAAGTGGATTGATACAGTGACTGCTGCAATGGGATCCTGTGTGTCAGGAAGTGTGAGGATGGTGCAGGACAGGACTGTATTCAGATCTTTTGTTCATAGAGTCACTATGAGTTGTACTCAACTTGATGGCACCTAAAAACAACAAAAACAGGGTTTTTTTTCTTTTCAGAGTTATTATTATTATTATTATTATTATTATTACTATTATTATTTTTGTGTGTGTAGCATCAAATCAGATCTGACAGGTACAGGAGGAGATTGTCCCTCCTTCTTCAGTAGAGCATCTGGTGGATTCGAACCATGTACCTCCGGTATTGCAGTGCAGTTTCTTGCCACCAGGCTACCAGAGCTTGCCCAAAACAGGTTTTTTTAAGGAAGTTTTGCTACTAATCCAAAGGTCATATCTTTCTTGTAGTTTTAATTTACCAAGTACTCCATGAGAGAAAGCAGAGTAACCTGTGTGAGTTACAGCCTCTGCAATCCAATGGAGGGTCAGCTATGATTGATTCAGACTCAGTGAAAATGAGTTGAGAGAGGATTTGGATTAGATGTTCACCCTCTATGTTGAAATCCAGTTCAACTTTGCCCCTTTCTTCTACCAGACTATGTGTGTTTCTAAACTGTTCTGAGGACAGGTGTCATAGTTATTGTTGTTATGTGCCGTCGAGTCGCTTGTGACTCATAGCAACCCTATGTACAAGAGCCCTAAACCCTACTCTATTCTGTGCCAACCTCACTGTCTCCTACATACCTACTCCCACCACCCCAATCACTGAATCAATCTCATCGAGAGTCATCCTCTCCTGCACTGTCCCTCCATTCTCCCAACCGTGACGTCCCCGTCGAAGGACTTGTCTGTCTTTGCAACATGTCCAGAGTATGTCAGAAGAAGCTTTAGAATGCTTGACTCCAAGGAACAGTCTGGCTTCACCCTGTCCAGGACAAACCCGTTTGTTCTCCTAGTAGTCCATGGTATATTCAACACTCTTCTCCAGCACCACAGCTCAAAGACATCAATCCTTTTTCTATCATCCCTAGTCACTGTCCAGCTCTCCAATGCATAGCACACAGTTTTGAAGACTGTAGCCCAGATCGGGCATACCTTAGTCTCTCCAGCCTGATATCATTGTTGTTCAATACTTTGGAGCGATCCCTGACAGCTGATTTTCCCAAAGCAATTCGTCTCTTGATTTCCTGGTTGCTGTGTCATAGACCATTAAAAAAAATTCAGGCATATTATTTTATTCTAGAAGGTAGGAAAAGTAGGGGAGGATTTAAAATAAGAGAACAGAACAGTGAAAAAGAAAGGAGAAAGGGCATCTTTTATAAAGATGGTAACTGGTGGGTCCTAATTTTAAACAAGAAAGGACATCTGTACAGAAGAATTCAGGTGTTAGAATAGATTTCCAAGAAATGGTTCTTTAGTCTTGGATTCAGACAATTTGAGCAGCTCAATGTGCCAACCACTATTCTCCCCACTGGAGAGGCTATAGTCAATAAAAGGATAATGTGCTTGTTTTGATGGAATTTACAATGTAGTGAAGGAGACACATAATACAAGGTATACTACAGTATGCACAAAACATACAGTACAATGTATTATATAACATAAAATAAATTCTAAAAAAAACCCTTATGAGTCATGTAGATAATGTACTATGTAACACATTGTAAGATATAGTTTAGGGACATTTAAGAAGAATACATGTTCAGAATATCAGTGGAATACCTCTTTTTTCCCTAATCGGACATGATTCTGTAGTTGTAAAGGGATATGTTCTACATTCTAGTATACAAAATATGAAAGAATTCTCTCAGGAAGTGACATTGCTAATTTATATGTGTTCATAAACTCATACTGAACATTGGAGGGACAGTTTATACAGATTAAAAAACAGTACTTAGAATTTTAAGAGAGACTATCTCTGAGTATCCTGGAAAGGTAGAGATTGAAAGAGAAGAAGACCCTCAAAGAGATGGATTGACACAGAGACTGCAACAATGAATTTGAGCATGTCAGAGACTGTGAGGATAAACAGAATCAGGCTAGGTGTCTGTCTGTTGTTCATAAGGATTGTTATGATTTGTGGCCAACTCAAAACTGTAAACATCTTTATGTTGGAATCCCTGAATGGTACAAATGGTTCAAGGACCTGACTGCTAACTGGTGGCCTAGTGGGTAAGGAGTTGCAATGGTAACACAAAGGTACAAATCTACCAGTTGCTCCCAAGGGAGAAAGATGGACATTTCTCCTATTGTTACATACAGCCTCTAAGACCCTACTGGTGTCTCAGCTATAAATCAGTCCTGATCTGACACCAATGAATTTGAGTTAATGAGCTAAAAAAAAGGCTTGAGGTTCTAATCCCTTTAGAGGTGCCTCAGGAGAAAGACTTGGAGATTTACTTTAAAAAAAAAAGTCAGTCCCTGAAAACCCTTTAGAACAGTTCTACCCTAACACACGTATGGTCACTATGAGTTGACAATTGGCGATTGATAATGGCATCTCCCAGCTGTGTGCTGAAACACACAGCCTGAGGGAAGATTTTTCCAGTCTGAAAAGGTTCCCCATACCCAGGCTTCCTGCACATCACCAAATACTATGCAGCACTGAGAAACAATTAACTCTTAAAACATTGCACAATATGGGTGACCCTGGTAGACAAAATGCCAAGTGAAATGTCTCAGTCCAAAAGGATAAATACTGCATAACACCACAATTATAAAGTAAGACTGACATGGGGAGTTAGGCAAAATTAGGAAAAGAGTGGATAAATAATGAACACTGCATTGGAACTAATGAAGGAAAGAGCTGTTTAAAAGGAATATGTATCTAAAAGCATTATACGTATGACAACACTTCAGGATAAAAGGTGCATTGCAAAGTAGGCAAGGGAGAGAGAAGGGAGAAGGCTGGAAGAAACTGTGCAAACCAATGAATGAATATTAAAAAAATAAGTTAACTAGAAGAAGGAGAAGGGAGGAAAATGTGCAACAATGAATGAATAAAAATCCAACTTTTCTGTAAACTTTTATACTTTTATTAAAATCACAATTTAAAAATATTTCCAGACTTTTGGTTAAAAATATTTTAACATTGTTTTATTCTCCACAGTCTTGATAATTTGGATATTGTTTAATAATAAGAAAACGAACCTTACCATCTGAAGAAAAGCTTTGTATTGGATTTGAAGAGTTTCTAGAATATTTGCTTAGTACTTGCTGACTCTGCTCTGGCACTTTCAAAAGGGAATAAACTACCGTTTTTGCTTCAACACAGGTGAATTATTTTGTTAGCATATCAAAGAGTCTACTTTGTATATTTCATTGTTTATGATGGAGGGGAAAAATAAGAAAAACCAAAACAATTACAGTGAATGAGGTAGAATGGCTGTGTTATTGCAGTACATAAGACTTTGATTACATACTGCCAAGATTCATACCAGCCTAGTAGTTGTTGACAGATAAAGTAACAAAAATGAAACTCATTTATTTTTTCTTTATTGAGACCTCAAGGTAAAGCAGATTTTCAGTTCTTGTACTTACTACATTGATAGAACAGAGACTGACAGCAAAAATGTGCCAGTCCAGGAAATATAAATTAAACCTAGGTTCATATCAAAATTTCATTTAGCCTTGGAAAAGGAGCTGCTGTTTGAATTATTTTTGATCCTAAAACAAATAGCGTGGAGTATCGCAGTCTACCTGGTTTTTGTTAACCCTTCTCTGTAAGCGTTACTTTCAAAGCAATTGTTTTTTTAAGTTCAAAATGTTCTATTTCTACCCCCATGTTTTAGGCAACTTAAATTATCATCAGAGTAAGTTATATTTTTTCTGGATGAAAATTACTAATAACAGACATATACACTTAAGTGTGCTGAAAATATGAAACTCGATTTGGAAAATTGGTAGCAGGCCTTTTTCTCTGTTGTAAAGCCCTACTTGATGTTATAGTATAGTATCAAGATAAAAAGAGAGTAAGTTATAAGTGGAATGAGAATTTTTTGTTTCTATTGTTCTGATTTTTTATGTGTATTGAATAAAATTTCTACATAAAGTGTTTGCATCTTGCCTTCACTTCACCTAAGCTAACATAGTCAGAAAGACCAGCAACAAGGCTACTCTTTCTTCTTTTCATTTAATTCCCAACAGAGAACTATTTTTACATTTCCTCATTATTAAGACACCACTAGGTGACCCACAGAATTCTAGAATTAAAAAACATGATACGCTTACTGAAATACAAATAAGGAAACTGCGTCATGAATTAATTCTAAATATTTTCATAATTCAACTATATACATTTCTTGAGTATATCTGTAACAAAATTTGTCTTAAGTTTTTATTATTTTTCTGAAGCCTGTATTTGATAATTTTCTCATTAATTTTTAGCAACAGAAAGATAGTGTGAATTTGTTTCTTGAATTGCCTTTTCTGACCTTTCACTGGATGATAATTACCAAAAAAGGGAGGTTTGGAAGACTTATAAAAAAATTAAGCTTATAAAGTAGCTGAAATGGCCCTTCTGTGCTGGTGTCGATTTCAAAATTAACATTTTGGTTCATGTGCTTCTAATAATCACTGACCCTTCCTTCATGTACTTTCCACAGGAAATGAATACAGCAGAAATTACTTTGACCCACTGATGGAAGAGGAAATAAACCCAAGGCAGTGTGGGATGGAGGTCAGCAGAGAGGGTGAGCTAGAATTAAGTATGTAATTTTTGTGTCAGAATATTCCTTTCCATTCATGAAAATGAGGTGACAAAGATCACACATGCAGTTCCATTTAGGTTTTACAGCTTACAATTTAAATGGTAAGTTTTAACCACTAACAACATGATGGACAGTGAAGGTAAATTTTGATCAAGGACGGCGAGCTGCTCAAATGAACAGAGGAGGACTCTGCTTTCATGTGATGCTCCTGTAAGCAGTTAGGACCATTATAAGGCCCATGATTTGTGGATGAGGAAAACCATCACAAATGCATCCCTTGCCTTTGTTTTAAAATGAACATTCTTCTAGAAAATGTTTACCCTTTTGTAATTGAGTTCTTTCCATTGAATGAGGGAGCTCTGGTGGCCTAGTGGCTAGACGCTGCATGAAACAAACCCCTGCATTTGGGACTAGGAAAGTGTGGTTTAATAATTTCCTCTTGCATATTCCTTAAATGAGTAGTAGCTGTTGTTGTTGTGTTGTTATGTACTGTCTAGGCGCTTATGATCCTTACATAGCAACCCTATGTACAACAGCCCTGAACCCTGCTCTATCCTGTGCCAACTTTACTGTCTCTGACACCCCTACCCTCGGTACCTCAGTCACTGAGTCAATCCATCTCATTGAGAGTCTTCCTCTCTTGCATTGTCTCTCCACTCTCCCAAGCATGGTGTTCCTCTCCAAGGACTGGTCACTCCTTGCAACATGTCCAAAGTGTGTCAGACGAAGCTTCCGAATCTTTGCCTCCAATGAGCAGCCTGGTTTCCCCTCTGTAGGACAAACAATTGTAGTTATTATACCAAAATTCCAAATTGCTCCTTACAAGGTATATGTTTTACAGTTTACTGAACATTCTACATCTTACAAAGTCTAAAGACGAGATGACAAGAGGGATGACTGCTACTCAGAGTCTTTTGCTATCCAGAAGATAATTTTCCATTATTAGACTTCAGTCATTTCTTTTTCTTTTTTTTTAAATAACAAACAAGAGAGTGAGATGAATTTTTACAAATAAAAGGTCAGAGTAAATAAAAGTGCAGAGATTATTTCACAAATGTGTTCTCCATTGACTAAACTAATTTTTATATAGTGTAGAGTCTACAAGTATCAGCTAAAGACTTACACAGAAGGTAATGTAAGGGCTATGAAACTAGAAAATTGTCAACCTTTTTATTTGTTCAAAAATATCAGAGGCACATTTATTGTAGTAACTGGGATCTTTAGTTCCCCTAAAGGTTATAGAAACAACCTCAGAGATTGCATGACAAAATTTTTAAGGACAAGTGACTTATTAACTGCAACTATCTTCAAGAAAATAAGTGGCAAGTATACACGTGGAGTTTACTGAATAGAATACACAGTAATCACATTGACTACGTATATGGAAAGATATGACAGAAAATTAAATATCATTAGTCAAAGCGATCAGCCAGGAAATTAAAAAAAAAACACCAGAAAAACAACAAACAAGAAACAGAAAAACACAAGAATTTGCATTAGGAAAATCTGCTGTCAGGCACCTCCTCAGAGTACTGGAGAACATTGATGTCAGTCTACAGACTAAGGGGCACCTGATCTAGACAATCTTTGAATTTACTGCTATGTATTAGAGAGCTGGACAATCACTAAGGATGACAGAAGAAGAATTGATACCTTTGAGTTGGGTGCTAAAGAATTGTATTGAATATACCATTGACTAATAAGAAGCAAACAGGTTGGTCCTAGAGAAGGTGCCAGGCTGTTCTTTAGAAGCATGGATTTTGAAGCTCCATCTAACATACTTTGGGCATGTTACAAGGAGGGACTAATCCTCATAGAGGGACATCATGCTTGGAAGGTTAGAGGGACAGCATAAGAATAGAAGACAGTGGCTGAGATGGCTTGACTGAATGACTGACCTCATACAGGTAGGTGTGTCAGAGGCCATGAAATTGGCTCAGGATAGAGCACAGTTCAGAGCTGTTGTACACAGGGTTGTTATGAGTCAGAGTCTACTTGATGGTACATAACAACAACAGTCAAAGCAAAGCCAGAGCTGAAAGCAAAACAGACTATCAGTTGCTTATATGAAAGCTCAAGGTGAAGATGAAAATAACAAAAACAACTTCAGGGGGCCAAAATACAACCTTGAGTATATCGCACTTGACTATCTCAAGAAGAGATCCAACACCTTGAACACTAATGAGGAAGACCAGACAAATTGTGTACCAGCATCAAGGACACCATGCACAAAGAAAGCAAAAGGTCACTGAAAAGAAAGGAGAGACCAAATGGATGTTAAAATGCACTTTGATACTTGATTTTGAATGTAATAGCTAACATGAATGGAAAAGTTGATGGAGTTAAAGAGGGGAAATAAGAATTAAATAAAACATTTCAAAGGACAATGGAAGAAGACAAAGGAGAGAACTATAACAAAATGTGGAAAGACCAGGAGTTACAAAACCATTATAGAAGAACATGTTCAATATTTCTCAATTTTAAAGAAATTGCCAGAAATTCAAGTCAGGTTCAGAAGTGGAATAAGAGCAATCATTGCAAATGTGAGATGAATCTTGGCTAAAAATGAAGAATCCCAGAAAGAGGTTTAGCTATGATTTATTGAGTATAAAAAACATTCAATTGTGTGGATCACAATGAATTATTAATAGCTTTGAGAAGAACAGGAGTTCCAGAGCACTTAATTGTGCTCATCTGGAACCTGTATATAGACCAAGAGATAAACATTCAAGCAGAGCAAGAAGATACTGCATGGTTGGAACACAGAATAGTAATGTGATTAGTTATTATATACTTTCACCATGTTTACTCAGACTGTAAGCTGAGAAAATGATATGCGAAGACAGACTACAGGAAACACAGCTCCATGATTGGATGAAGACTCATGTATAGCCTAAGATGGGCAGGTTACACAACCTTGCATGCTGGAAGTTAAGAAGACTTAAATAATTACTGATGAAAATCAAACACTAAAGTTACAATGTGCATCACTCCTTTCTCTAAAGCAATAATCTTGCATCCAATCCATTTGTAACAAAAGATATTTTTATTGTGACATATCCAATATAAAAAATAATTCATGGAAAGTTGACTGCAAGTGATAAAGCTGTGAGTAGGCTAAAGTCCAAAGAAGTACAATTTTCTGGTACTTTTAGGGAGCTCTTGTGGTGTAGTCTAAAGGGAGCTGTGTTGCCACTTTTTCTGGTGGTTCAAATCTATTGACTGCTCTATGATAGAGAGATAGACAAACTACTCCTGTGCCATTAACCAATTCAGAAAACCAATGGAGAGTTAGCTGTTATTTAGTTCCAACTCAACAGCAGTGAGTTTGAGTTGATAGATTATGAATAATGAATAATGATCTTTAACTGTCCCCTTAACAATCATTGGAACATGCACTTTTGATTATTTACATACTCTGAAATTTAGACAATGAATAAGGATGACAGAAGAATTGAGGGATTTGAATTGTCATAGTGGATAAAAGTACTCAATGTCCCATGTTCTAACAAATGCACAAGCAAGTCTATCTTGGAGTAAGCACAACTAGGGAACTCAACTAGGGAACTCCTTAGAGGCAAAGTTGTTGACATTTCATCTTACATACTTTGTGCATATTATCAGGAGCGACCAGTCCTTAGGACTGCAGGGAAATGTGGAAGGTCAGAGAAAGAGGAGAAGAATCTCAATATTATGGTTGACACAGTGACTGTAGCAAAGGGCTCTTTATAAGAGGTGTCGAGGATGGCACAGTATAGGACAAGATTCACATCTATTCTCCATAGTGTCACTATGAGTTGTAGTGGACTCAAAGGAATCTAACAATACTGAGGTTAGTTAATTTTTATTTTTGTAAAGACCGCTCTGAAATATGAAAAAGTAGCCTTTCTCTTTACCCAAGTATTTTGGCTCTGGGATTTTATGATTGTTCTATTTCTTATTATGTAGGCTATTTGGGGTGTTTGATAGATCTTCAGCTCAAATCTTAAGAATGTTATTCTTTTTTATTTTTAAGAATGTTATTCTTTAGAATACATATTCATTATCTCTCTTCTAACTTGTTGGCTCTCCAGAGCACTCATTTCTGTGTTTTAATGTAGTCTTTTCAGAGTTTGAATGATTCCACATATCCTGTGAAACTAGTTTTTCGTCTGACTTATTGTGAATTCACCCTTCATTAACCTCAACATAAAGAAAACAAAAATCTTCACAGCTGGACAAATAGGCAACACTAAGTTAAACAGTAGTGATAAGACTTAGGTTAGTATGAATTTACTTTTATTTGGATCTCAATCAATACTCACAGAACTATCAGTCAAGAGATAAAATATACGCTGGGCAAGTCTGTTTCAAATAACCTCTCGCAAATATTAAGTAATAAAGATATTAACTTTAAGACTAAACTTCACCTGACCCAAGCCATTTTCAAACACCTTATATGCAAGGAAAACTTGGACAATGAATAAAGAAGAACAAACCAAATTTGATGTCTTTGAGTTATGATTATGTTGGTGAAGAATCTTGTCTAACTGTAGACAATAAGAAAAATGAACAATCTGTTTTGGGAAAAGTGTTGGCAGAATACCCCTCAGAGGTAAGGGTGGACAGACTTGTCCTAGGTACTTCAGATATTCTATTATTAGGTACCATACCTGGAAAAAGATATCAACAACAAAAGTATCAACCGGAAAAAAGAAAACCTCCAAGATTGTCAGAAACAGACAATGCAGCAATGGGCTCAAAGAATTGCGAGGCTGTCACAGACCCAACAAGGCAGTGTTTTATTCTGTTGTACACAGGGTTATTTGTTATGAGTCAAAAGCCATTATTGGGAATGTATAAAAAAAGAATGTTGATGCATACAGATCTTTGCTATAGTCATCTCTCCTAATTCTGTTTATCCCCTGCTTGTCTCTTTGTTTTAGCATCCTAAATGTGTGGTCATTTATTTTTATTATATGTATATTTTTGTTTGTGTGACT